TTAAATAAAAAAAAAACAAACCATTATGCAAATGAAAGGCATGTCACAGACCAGAGGATTACTGCAATATATCTGTCAAAGCAAATCTTATCTATAATAAAGTAATTCCACAACTTGATAACCAAAAAATAGACAATGCAATCTTTTTAAATGGGCCAAAGATTTAAGCAGGCACTTCATGAGAGAGACTATCCAGATGGCTAGTAGGTCCATATATGAAAAGGTGTTCAACTTCATTAGCCATCAAGGAAATACAAATTACATAGCATCACATCCCCCAAATGCGCTAAACTTAAAGGGATTAACAACACCCTATTTTGCAAGGATGTATAGCAACTGGAACTCTCATACACTCTGGGTAGCAGTTGATACCACAACTTGGGAAACTTGGCAGAATCGACTAAAGCTAAACATAGAAGAAAAACTCATGACCAAGCAAGTCCATTTCCCAGGCATACACCAAACCAAAATAAATGAGCATTTCTGTTCATCATCATCATGTGCAAGAATGCTTACAGAAGCTTTATTCCTAATAGCCCCAAACTGGAAACAACCCCAATACCATCAACAACAGAATGGATATGTAAACTGTGGTATAGTAATAAAATTGCATATTAATGCATCGACGAAAGGTACTGAACTTACTCCTTTAACAAAATGGATGAGTTTCACAGGTAAAACTAGAATGAAAGAAGCCAGTCAAAACAAGTACATACTGTATGAGTCCCTCTGAGTGATATTGAAAAACAGACAAAACTAATCTCTAGTGACAGAGGTCAGAATAGTGGGTCCTCCTGGGAGGGGACACTGGGGAGCCGACATGCCCTGTATCTTGATCTGGTGGTAGTTAGGTGGGTACATATGTAACATTTATCAAGTTATACACCTAATTATATGTTTTTAAAAGCAAGTAAATATTTTTATCTTTCAAGACCTTACTCAAGTTCTAGCTCTGTGTGGGGCCTTCCCAGAATACCTGTCCCCTTAACAGATGGGGCTGTTCTTTGCACTTGGAAACAGCAGCACATTGTTAGGCCTCTTTTACTTTAGCTTCTCTGTGTCAGTGCCTTCAGGGTAGGGTAATATTGTCCAGACACTACGCACCCCACCATCCCTAGTGCTGACAGATAATCTAGTAGACGCTTAACAAGTATCTTTACATCAACTGGCCATTCACAGGAGGCAGCGGCAAGCACCAGTGGGTGCCCAGTTCTGAGGACAGGGGCTGAGGAATGTTCTCGGTAACTCTTATCTTTACCCCCTACAGGAAAGAAAGTTGTGATGTCAAGTAATTGATCAATGAAGCAAACCAAGGGCCCCCTTAAAAAACACCAGATATCCCTTCTCCCTGAAGGTGTGTGACACTCTCTTTCTATTTTACCCCTTCTCCCTGAAGGTGTGTGACGCTCTTTCTTTCTGATCTACCCGCTATTCTTTGTGAGCACTCCCAGCCCTCACTGGGGCTCCCAGTAACCCATGAGGACGTTAAATTGGAGGAAGTAAGCCCAAGGAAATACCAGAGTAACCCCCCTAGGGAGGTTAGCTGTGGAAAAGAAGGGCTACTAAAAACCCATCTGCAGAGCCCACATGAAGAGCTCAAGTCAGAGATTCTCTTAATACACGGGTTGGATAAATGCTGAAAGAATAAATATCAAAGTCAACATTTGACCGACTATTTGCAACACAGAATGAACTTCTGGGATACAAGAATAAATCTGAACCTCCACATAAATTTTCTATTATTGTTACAATGTAAACATCTTTAAATGTTAGCCGACTAATTAGAGAAGTTTGTATTACACTGAAGGAACAATAATGTCTTAATTCTGACTAGCATAGCTGCTGGGTTGCTCCTGTGGGCACACTGCAGTGCGTGTTTATATTAAATACACATTATATTTAATATATACATATATATATATATGTCCCAAATGACAAACCTCATTCTAGTTAGGCTAATTACATTGATGATAACCTAGACAAATACATGATCTTTGATCACATATACATTTGGGGAGGCTAGAAACAGGATGAAATAGGCATTTGGCTATTTGACTATCTGAAGAACAAAGTCAATGCCAAATTTCAGTGCTTTCATAGATACAGAAGGATAAAGATGTGCTATGTTTTTATTGCCCTTAGGAGAGAAACAAAATTATATTTTATCTGAAGCAGGAAATTATATTTCATTTTTTTTAAGAGAAGAAATAAAGCCCCTTCTTACAGCAGGACAACCACTAACTACCCCATCCTCCTACCCACAAGAGCAGATAATGGTGAAGCCCAAGGAAGGATGAAGACTGAGTCTTTACCTTCCTAGGGCTCCAGTCTAGTAAAATGACAAAATATCAACACACCAAGCTCCTGTTTTATTAAATGGTCAGGCTCATAATGGAGGGCTAAAGAGTAAAAAATACTGATGTGACCTACCCTGAGGAGAAGCCAGCCTCTGGAAATGATGGAACAAACCCTTGTGTTCCATCCAGTGAGGAACACTGGCCCATGGAGTGTCCAACAGTGAAGCTGAAATCTGAACCCAGGTAAATTCAGCACAGAGCCCAGATCTCCATTACGTGCAGACCTCATGTACAGGCTCACTATTTTTCCAATGTATGAAAATGGAGCTGTAATCCCTAGAATAAGTAACTGATTTATGACATGTATAGTGGCTGTTTTGTTTGTGATTTCTCAGTTAACAGATAGCAAGAGTAGCTAGTAACATCTTGGTATTAAATTTTTGACACAAATTGTATTGGTAATGTTCTAATACTTAAATTGGGTGGAATATTCCCAAAGTTCATTATCTTGATATGTTACATAATGTATATGTATATATATATATACACACTCATTGCACATTCTTTTGAATGATTCAAATATTTATATAATTTTTTTAATGTCTACAAGCTTTGGCAGTGTAAGAAGATCAAAATGGCAACTTTAAGAAACAAAGGAGTCTTCACGTGGGAAGGATGGGAACCAAATGAGCTCAGGACAATAACGAAGCTTCTAACCCCAGCATAAGCCATCTACCTAGTAAAGTGGAAGATCAAAAAAAAAAAGGGTTCTCTTCCTCTAGCAAAAGGGGAAAATTTCAGAAGGATTTTGAATGAGTGAATCCTATCAGTGAAAATTACATTGTTAAACATCTTTAATGGGAATACTAACTTAAATGGTCTGAAACAAGGGTAAGGAAGAAGAGCCAAACAAAATGTGTGCCTTTTCTGCACTGAGTTCAGGTAAGTTTTATTACCAGAATATAATGTAAATAACCAGAAGAAATTCTAGAAGCAATAAGGTGCTCTGTGAGATTCCAGAACCCGTGCCTACTGCCCCCTTCCCTCTCTCTTCCATCCCCCCAGCTCCTCCCTCATCTACCCATTCAGTGACCTGTGCCCTTTGCTTCTGACAAAGAAAATGACACAGAAAAGCATTCCTCCAAAGGTGAACTTTTCTATCCCAATTTGTTCTGCCAGATAAGACCCAATGGCCCTAGCATCAAAACAAGCTAGCACACACTGTGAATAAGGTGTATAAAGCAACAGCAAAAGTCCCCGCAGACCCAGCAGCAAGGACCTGACCTACCATCCGGTCTCCTGGAGTCTGGAACGGCCTTGGTGCTCTTTATTTCCTACCCTAGGAAGTGAAGTGTAGAAAACAGATTTAACCCGAGGGTCAAATCCCCCCATATTCACTGAGGGTATCCCCAATCACCTAATGAGAAATATCTTAGTTGTGGTTAAACTCACCTGCTGTAAAGCTAGAGGAAATGGTTTTGTTCTTCTGCACCCCCTTCCAGTGAAGTACCATCAGAAAGGACTACAGTGAATTATTAATCATGTTATGGTATTGACATTTCATCTGTATTAACCCCTTTAATTACCTACCTAAGGAGACCGGTTTGTGTACAACAGCACAGTGCCAGGCACATAGTAAGAGCCCCCCCACCCCAACTTGCAAAAGTGTGTTATTATTGGAATACAAATACATGCAGCCAGTAACAATTTCACACACTTACCAGGCATGATGCTAAACTGGGGTTTAGGTGCTGAGCAACATCAAGACCCTCTCTAGACCACCTTTTTTGTCAGGAAACTATTGTTTGGATGAGTAGGCGCTGCAGCTTTACCGCACAGGCACTCTGCCTTCCACAGGCAGTCAACAAACACTTGGCTACCAAATATTAAGAAAATATGCCATCCCATGAGCCTTTAGTAAAAATACTGACTTTATTCGTGAGTTGAAACCATTTCTGTTTTTAAATATTAATCTTAACGGCAATTTCCTCTTTGTCGGGAAGGTCCCTTAAATACGTGCCCCATTTTAAGAGTCCTTAATTCGGTGGGTCATTTCTTGCAAATCGGCTGCTCGCGGCACTTTAAAGAGCTAGAGGCGGCCCCAGCTCCTGGCCCTGGGGAAGTCATGGTTGTTTTCCCCTGCTCCGTGCGCAGGGGTGACCGCTTTGCAAACACTGTCCCCGCCCGCGCTTGCGTTCCCCCTTCTGCCTCCCCAATTCGTTAAGTACCGACGCCGAGCAGACAGGGAAGCCACGCTGTTTACCGTCGGCTTTTACAAAAACGCGTGTCTCCGGTCCCGGGGAGACGGACGCGCCAGCCACTCACACCCGGCACGCCGCTCTCAGGCAGGCAGGCCGCTGCTGTACAGTATAGGGCGGATCTGGGGCTCATAGGGCAGGCTCCTTACAGCCTTGATGCAGGGGCTGGAGAAGGATCTGGAAGAATCCGGCTAGTTCGGGAAACGTGCAGGAGTGTCCCCCAGTTCCGAGGGTCCCAGGAATAAGGGAGGGGGTCAGGGCCGCCAGCGGGAGGGGCGAAACAGAAAAAAAAAAATTCACGCACAGGAGCTTGAACCTGCTCGGCCGCCGCCGTCTCTAGAAAGTTCTCCACCCACCCTTCGCTGCTCCCGCTCCAGCTCCTCCCAGCCCCACCCTCCGCGGCGGGGTGGGACCAAGCGCTCCCCCCCACCCCCACCTCATTAACCACCCACTCCCGCTCCAGCGCCCGACTCCGCCGCGGGCTGCGAGCGCGCCGGCTCGGAGACTTTGGTCCTTAGACCGGTTTGGGGCTCGCTGCGCCCCGTGCAGGAGGCCCAGTGCCCAGCTCCCTGAGTATACGGCGCACCGAGCGGCGATGACCGCCGAGGAGATGAAGGCGGCCGAGAGCGGGGCGCAGTCTGCGCCGCTGCCCCTCGAGGGAGTGGATATCAGCCCCAAGCAAGATGAGGGCGTGCTGAAGGTGCGGGCGGGGGTGGGCGGCCTGGGAGCCCCCCAGACGGGACGCGGCGGGAACGGCCGGTGGGGGGGCGGGGAGAGGGCGTGCAGCTGGCAGCGGTTGCATCGCCCTCCCGGACCAGGCTGCGTCGCTGGGGCGCGGAGGGCGGCCTCGCGCTCGGCATGGGGTGGCCCAGGTGCGCCGGGCAGAGCCCCAAACCCCGAGCGCTGTGGCGCCCGAGGTCGGGCCGGGACTACGGCGCCAACTCCGGCGTGCGCGGTGCGGCGGGAGGGGCGGGGCCGCGGGGCACGCGAGCCGCAGCCGGGCAGGGCGGTGTGTGCCCACCGCTCACCGCGACCCCGCGCCGCCCGGCCTGCTGCCTCCCTGCCAGCTGCACTCGGGAAGTCCCAGGGTGCCCCCGTCGGAGGCGCTGCGGGAGCTCGTGTACCCCTGCTAGTTAAACATTAGCCAGGACGTGAAGCGGGGCACAGGAGTAGTGTCCTGGCCCAGAGGCCGTTGTGCAGCACGACCCGGGGCTGGCCGCGAGGAAGGTTCCCGCGGCCGCTGCCCTGCCGCTACCCCGTCTGTAAAGATTGGGACCCAGCTAGGTCACCCGCTCGGCCATGCTGTCCCCATCCCCCCACCCTCGCGAAAGCCACGGCGCAGTGCAAGCCGGGACCTGTAGTTCCCTCCCCCAACCCCCGCCTGCGCTGGGGCTCCGGGGTGGGGTGTCGGGCCGGGAGGAGGTGCTTTGCTTGGGATCCTGCTGCTGTGTAACCGCCCGGCTACTTTCCGGAGGAGCAGGGAGGGTGGTGGTCCGGGACAGGGGACAGGGCTTCTTGACCAGGGTCGAGACAACCCGCGCTGGTTCACAGCAGGTTCTGCTGAGTCCTCGATGGCGAAATCCTAGGCCATATTTCGTGCCTGCCTTTCATCGAGTGCTGCTTCTTAGTCGTGACTTCCCACTGCTCAGCTCCACGTGTGTGTGTGCGCGTGCGCGCGCGCGCGCATACGGTGTGTATGTGTGTACTGGACAAAGCCAGAGACCTTTGGGGGCCTTTACCTATTTTAGAAATGCATGTGGATTTGCCCCAGATCTTGGAATCCCAAGCTGCCCTCCCAAGTGTTCTGGTGATTTCCACAGGGTTGATTACAGAGAGGGCCATTTTCCACTTTTGTCTGCCACTCCTACCCTTTTTTACTGCTCAAGTCCCCTGGACATTCTGTCATGGAAGCTTTCCCTTAGAGGATAACCACACACTTACCAGGCTGCCCCTGGAGTCACTTTTTAAGAATACTAAAGGTGTAAGAAGCAGAGACTTGTAGGTTCTTGGCAAATAATCTAATCCTGAAATAAAAGACCTAATCAACCTACCAGTCAGGAATGCTTAGGGTTTAGGGCCTATTTGAGAGCCCCTGCTCATCTATAACCTGCTGATTTCTTTTATCTCTTGGATTACTTTTATTCTCTTCATTACTCATATTCCTCTCCTCATCTCCAAATCAGACCCTGATCTGATGACCACAGGTATTTAGCAGGATCAGAAAATGGAGCACAAATACTTCTCCCTTTGCTTCTCATCGTAATAAACTTTTATTCAACCTTTTACCACTGTAGTCCTCCACTAGCCCTGATAGGGATTATCATCACTACTTTACAGGTAAGTCTGGAGGTATAAGTGACTTACCCAAGATCATAAGCAAAACTTGGACTTGGGTCTTTTTGTCTCCATTTCTCACCAAGTCATGTCATACCTCATGAATGCTGGGAAATTCAGCCAAGCTTCATACTGGAATCATTTATGGATTGGTCCCCTTGAATCTACTTACAAGGAGGCAGAAGAGTCCCTCTGTGCCCATCAGAGGCATGCGGGCAGTTTTGGTGCCTCTTTCTACCCCCATCCCTGGGGACTCACCCTTTTCCACTTCCTCCCAGGTTATCAAGCGAGAGGGTACAGGCACAGAGACACCCATGATTGGGGACCGAGTCTTTGTCCACTACACTGGGTGGCTGTTAGATGGCACCAAGTTTGACTCCAGTCTGGACCGCAAGGACAAATTCTCCTTTGACCTGGGAAAAGGTAGGCATGATTAGTGGGTTCCTAGGATAGGCTTTCGGGGGGAGGTGTAAGCTGGTGCAGGTAGAAGCCATATTGTTAGGAGAATAGTCCTCTTAATACCTGTTCATGTTTTTCCCGTTACACCTTTTCTTCTAATGTCCTGTAACTGTATTGATTGCTAGCTCCCCCTCCCTGGATTATCTCAGAACCCCTCATTTCCTCTTCAGAGATAGACTGTCTTGTTTCTGGAACTCCTTTGTTCTGGAGTTGAGTGCTATGGGTTTTTTTTTTGTTTTGTTTTGTTTTTTTTAAGAGGTCTGAGACCTGACAGCACTCACTGCAACCAGGTTTTCTACCTAACTGGTCCCATTTCTAAAGAGTGTCCAGCTTCCCCGCTGGTGTGGTTGCTGTTTGAGCCCAGAGTCAGCCCAGCCAAGGAGGATGTGTTTGCTTTCTGTACCTGCAGGGGAGGTCATCAAAGCTTGGGACATTGCCGTAGCAACCATGAAGGTGGGAGAAGTGTGTCACATCACCTGCAAACCAGAATATGCCTACGGCTCTGCAGGCAGCCCTCCAAAGATCCCCCCCAATGCCACACTTTTGTTCGAGGTGAGTGTCCAGCCACAGAGAGCAAGGCACAGAGCCAGCCTTATCTCAGCCCAGAGAGCCTGGCTGCCCTCCAGCCCTTCCTGCTGCTTGGAGACAATGTAGCCAAGACTGAGGGCCTGGCCTTAGGGAGGAGGAAGAATGAGAGGGCTGCTGGCTCTGCCTGTGCACAGTCTGCTGCTGTCGGGAAGTAGCTGGAGGTGGGGGTTCTGGTGGGAAGAGGCAGGCACAAACTCCTTTCCAAACTTGAAGGAGAGGAAGGGGTTGAAGCATGTTCATCTCAAGAGTAGAGCTCAGAGGAGGTGGGTTATAAGTTTTAGTTGAAAGGAATCAAGATGTCAGAACCTATACACGGTTGTAAGTAACAGCATGGAACATTGGTACTCTAGAGATCAGAGGTGGGGAGAGATGCTTTCCCCTTGGCTCAAGGGGGGGTGAGGAAAACCTTTGCTGATAAGGTGGAAGTTGACAGTGTTCAGTCTGAAAATGGCTGAACCCTAATCAGCGGCTAACTTGGAGAATGTCCAGAAGACCACTGAGAGGGTTCGGGTCATTTCTAATGCCTACCTTGTGGGGCTTCTCCAGTTGCTGACTGAGGATCACCTGGACCACACCCTTCTTACGGGGAGCAGGTGGTAAACGGGGGAATGTCCTGAGGTTAACTGGAATCCATGTGGCTTGTCCATCTCTGCCAAAGTTGAGACGAGGGCAGCTCCTGGAACTTGGAGCAGACATGCCCCTCTGTGCACTCCTCGTGTGGCTGCCATAGTGTCAGACTGGCTGGCTGGTTCCTAGGGACCCTTCTGAGTGAGAGAGAAGTCAGGCGTCTGTTGACAAGCTGCTGCTGAAAGGCATCGTGCCACCTTGTCTTATCCCACAGGTGGAGCTGTTCGATTTCAGCGGGGAGGACCTGACGGGAGAAGAAGATGGCGGGATCATCCGGAGAATACGGACTCGGGGTGAGGGCTACGCCAGGCCCAACGAGGGTGCTGTCGTGGAGGGTAAGAGGACCATCCGGGGTTTCAGCTTTGGGTGGCGGTCTTTAGGCCCTGGGTGGCTTGGGGCAAGTCACTTCCTTCCTCTCATCCTGTTCTCTTACCTGTGAAAGAAGGATCGGGCCTGGGCCATCCCCGATTAACGTCCCTCTGGGTCTGAGAGCACGAGGGCTTACTGAGGGCAGGAGGCGATGGAGTAGAGCAGGGCCGGTGGCATCCGTGCTCCATCACTGGCATGCTCATGCCTGCCATGCGGCCTCTCTCTCATGCCAGTTGCACTGGAAGGTTACTACAAGGATCAGATATTTGACCGGCGGGAGCTCCGCTTTGAGATCGGGGAAGGGGAGAATTTAGATCTGCCTTGTGGGCTGGAGAAAGCCATTCAGCGCATGGAGAAAGGAGAACATTCCGTCGTGTACCTGAAGCCCAGGTGAGCAGTGGGCACGCTGCCCAGCAGGTGGGTGAGCTGAGATCAGAGTGTCTGTCATGAGTTGTATAACTAACTAGCCATCTGTTTATCCTTTGCCCTGCGTGGTTCACTACCCCCATAGCCTCATGAGAGGTCACTGTGCCTCTGGGCACTCCAAACAGTAAGATCTCGTATTTCGGAGTGTGGCCACAATTGTCCACATCTCCGTGGATCCAAGCCTAATCTTTTCAGATTCCCTCCTCTGCCGACATCAAGATTCTCATCTCCCCTTAATTCATTCAATCCTTCATGCTGTTTATTGAAACACACCTACTGTGTGTCAAAACACCGTGCTGAAAGTTCCTAGGTATTCAGAGACATTATTCTTGCATTCTAGAACTTACTATTCAATGAGATCCATTTAAATTAATCATCCCAGGGTGGTGGGAGTTAAAAGGTCCGTCAGATGCTAAGACCAAGTAATTGTTGTGAAGAGGTCAGGGAAGATTTTGCCAAACAGGAAGTATATGAACCAAGTCTCCAGGGGTAGGGAGGTACTTTCCAGGAAGCAGGAGGTGTTTTCACTGTGGAGCAGGTTAAGTGCTACTGAGATGACCCTCAGTGTTTTTGCCCCCACAGCTATGCATTTGGTAGTGCTGGGAAAGAAAAGTTTCAAATCCCACCGAATGCTGAGGTGAAGTACGAAGTAAGCCTGAAGAGCTTTGAGAAGGTGCGTTTGCTCAAGGTCATCCTATCTTCAAGTTAGGTCCTTGCCTGAGGGTGGCTCAGGTAGCTGACAGCTCTATTCCTTCCTTGGGCTGTGGCAGGCCAAGGAGTCTTGGGAGATGAATTCAGAGGAGAAGCTGGAACAGAGCACCATCGTGAAAGAGCGGGGCACCATGTACTTCAAGGTGAGTTAACAGCTGTGGTGCTGAGGACACATCCAGGGAGTGGATGGGTTGTCCTCTCATGTGAGTCCGCTGGTCTTGCCTGAGGGTGAGAGAGGGAGGCAGGACTCATGCCTGCCTGTGGCTCACTGCTCTCTGTAGGGCCTGACAGTCTGGTGCCACTGGACCCGTGCGGGTGCCTGAGCCTCCCTCCTGTTCTAGGAAGGCAAGTATAAGCAAGCTTTACTGCAGTACAAGAAGATTGTGTCCTGGCTGGAATACGAGTCAAGTTTCTCTAATGAGGATGTGCAGAAGGCACAGGCCCTTCGACTGGCCTCCCACCTCAACCTGGCCATGTGTCACCTGAAGCTGCAGGCCTTCTCAGCTGCTATTGAAAGCTGTAACAAGGTGAGGCCCTGTGAAAGAGGGCACAGGAGCAACACTGAGGCAGAGTTGGTGAGCAGCTAGAGTCTGAAGCTTGCCCGCGGTGACGGGGGTTGGGGGAAGGGGTGCAGGTGGCAGGGTGGACTAGGTGGAGCTCTAAGACTGAAGGGCCCAGGCCAGGGCTGTGAGAAGCCAGCACCTTGGTTTCAGTGGCAGGAGGCAGCTAACACACGTAGAAGGGTGGGGAAGAACTTCAGCGTTTTCTCCCCTCGTTCTCAGCCTCTCCCTCCTTACCCCTCTTACACATGTTTTATTCTGAAGAGAAAGGAAATGTTGCAGGCTCTTCTCTTTCATTTAAAGACCTGTCTTCTCTCTCTGCTTCTTGGGCTAAATTAGGTTCCTTGCTAGACCTTGGCCCTTTGCATTTAATGTCCAAGACTCATTCTTTTTGGAGTGGAGCCAGCCACTCCATTGCACCTCATCCTGCTGAGCCCAGTCTTGGCCAGGTGAGCTGCAGGCTGTGGTCTCAGGGTGTCTTCCTTCCTGCGTCCTTAGGCCCTGGAACTGGACAGCAACAATGAGAAGGGCCTTTTCCGCCGGGGAGAGGCCTACCTGGCGGTGAATGACTTTGACTTGGCACGGGCAGACTTCCAGAAAGTTCTGCAGCTCTACCCCAGCAACAAAGCCGCCAAGGCCCAGCTGGTTATCTGCCAGCAGCGGATCCGCAAGCAGCTCGCACGGGAAAAGAGGCTCTATGCCAACATGTTTGAGAGGCTGGCTGAGGAGGAGAGTAAGGTGAGAGCAGGATGGGGAACAGTCTGGATGGAGGGAAAAAGAGGTACTACCTCCTGTGCCCAGCCCAGCTGGTATGGGCATTTTGTGCCTGTGGTTCTTTTCTGATCCTGGAAACCGGAAATTGCCCTCATCCCTGGAGCAGTTAGGCTATGTGCTGCTCCCTAAGTGAAGACTTCTGCTGTGGGTCCGGTCTGGCAGGCCTCTGTGCCCAGGGATGGTCACCACGCCTGAGCCCTGGGGGCCAGGATGTTGATCTGGGTGAGCTTCTCAACATACATAATGTTGCGAAAACTATGTTTAAATAGAATTCGAACTGCATGAAAAGGCTTCCCTCCCACCACCCAGAAGCAACTAAAATTTACCAGGACTTAATTCATCCCAGCATATTGTTTACATAAGCAGACAAGTTTGCATTTCCTGCCTTTTCCCTAATAAAAGGCAACATGCTGTATTTTCCCTATCATGCTTTCTTTATGTCAAACCTGAAACCTTATTTGATACCCTGTGAAGAACTTTCACATGCTCTGCTGTTCTTACATAGGATTCCATTGTCGGTAAGTCCTGTCTTGCTGACCCAGTGCCCTACTTAGTCTCCTGACGTTCCAAACAAGTATTGTCCCATAGAAACAGTGCAGGTCACATAGTAATTGTAGATTGTCTAGTAGCTTTGTTTTGAAAAGTAAGCAGAAAGAGGTGAATTTAATTTTAATATTTAGTTGACCCAGGGTGTCTAAATATTTTTAATTGCATATATGTTTTTTTTTCAGTCTCCAAATTCCAGTATATATTTTATATTCAAAACACCAATATGAACTAGCTACATGGTAGTGTTCTAATAATACCTATTGTGTAGGGATATCCTTAGGACCTACCCCAGAGAGAATTGCTGTGTCCATGTAATTCTGTTAGAAGTTAGTAGATATTCTTTTGATGTGGGGCAGACCTTACACAGTATCACTATGCCAGGTGTATAGGTTTGTCACTAGATTGGTGGGGTACAGTCAGGGGACAGTGGGGACATGGAAAAAAAGTCCCTGAGTTGCAGAGGGACTGGGCAAGATGAGAACTGACTTCATCCCATTGCTCTTCCCTGCCTTTCTGCAGGCCAAGGCAGCAGCAGCTTCAGGAGACCACGCTGACACAGAAATGAAGGATGAGCAGAAGAGTGATGTGGCGGGGAGCCAGCCTCAGGTGGAGACAGAAGCGTAGCCTGTCCCAGTCCTGCTGCAGCCACTGGCCTCCCCTGCTTCCTACCCTGCTCCGCCCTGTTAGTTTTGTAAAAACTGAAGAATTTTGAGTGAATTAGACCTTTATTTTTCTATCTGGTTGGATGGTGGCTTTGGGGGAAGGGGAAGGAATAGGCTGGGGATCGTGTTAGGTGGTGTCACCCCTCCCCTCCTCCTTCCATTACACAGGAATGAATGTCCACCCACACGCACACTTGTCAGAACGTTAATTTATTTTGCTTCCTCTGTTTACTCTGTCCATTTTTCAAATGGTAGAAGGGGGTGAGTGGTAGGGATGTGGAGTCTGATGTGAAACCAGAGTGGAAAGGGAGACTTGTGGGCAGCCGTTTTCCTTGTCCTGTTCTCCTCGTCCATTTCCAAACACGTGGCCTTGTGAGGGTGCTGGCTGTGAGGAAGACCACTGCTGTGCCTGTTACTTCCGTTCCCTCCTCACCCCAGGTGGTGTGGCTGATGTCTTCTGGTGTCCCGGTGACCGTCCCCTGTCAGCCCCTTCTGGTGTTTTCCCCTAATCTGTTTCCCTTCCCAGCCAGGTGGAGTCCCCCCACCCCCCAGCCTCCTCTCTGCACGTAGCTGAAGGTCCAAGCCCACTTCAAGTTCTGTGCTCAAGCAATAAAGTGGAAATGATAAAAGCTGGGTGTCGGGCAACCCTTTCTGTGTGGCTTCAGGTTGGGTGTGGGTGGCTGCCCTGGGGCAGAAACTAGAATCCAAAGTATTGGGATCACTTGTGTTTGTCTTGAAGTTAGACCTACTTCTGCCTACTGATTGAGTAGAAAGCAAAAACATTCTTGGTTTCCCAACAAGGTAAAATGAGAAGCCTGCACTGGAGAGGGAAGAGCCGTCAAGCCCAGGAGAGGGGTGCCTTGGGCCCACTTTCCTCTCCTTTCTCCACCTTAAATGGAAAAGCTTATGCTTCTAATTACACTTCACCCTTGACTCCTGAGCATGGGACGGGACCCTGGGAGAAGCCCAGGGGCTCCAGTCAGCCAAGCTGAGCCTTCACTAGACAGCTATGGCTATGGGCCAGAGCCTTATCTATGCCCTTGTCCCTCTAATGTGGCTGTTCAGTCCTTTGCACAGGGGCAGAGGTAGGCTGCCTACCCACACATCTGTACAGTTCCTTCTAGAAGAAGCTGCTCCATACTTAGGCTGTGCAAGATGAGTGTCTGTGTGAGGAAGTCTCACCAGGTCACAGTGTGGGTGGTGCTGGGGCCAGGGCTAAAATCTGCCCACCGGTATCCTGTTACCTGCTTGCTCACTGGCTTCACAGAGTTCAGTGCTTGAGACTTGTGCCTGGGTCTTTTGATACGTCAAGATCAATTAACAATAACTGCCAGCTCTCGTTAAGCACTTAAGATGTAAGCCTGGCACTAATGCAAGGGCCTTATGAGAACCTTACTCCTTGCAGCCATCCTACAAAGGAGATGTCACCCCATTTTACAGATGAAACCAACATACAGGTGTTGCATGGAAGCAAGGTCTGCTTGGAGTGTGCACTCGAACAAATCCAAATTCTGCCTTGAGGTTAACACGGCCTTGGGCAAGTAGGGCTGCTTTCCTCATCTGCAAAATATGGAGATGGAAAGAAAACACGCCTGGTGCTTCTTCCAGCCCTTAATGTTTCTGGGATTCCAAGAATTTGAAACAATCATGTACCTAGAACCCTGGAGCTGTACAAGCCTTGATTTATGGAACTGTCTCATGTTTTATTAAAGTGGCCCGGAGTCTTTTAAGGTCAAAATTAACTCACCACGTACTCCACTTTGCTGTTGGTCAGTGCACCTTCCTCACTAGCACTTACACCTTCCCTTACGGGGACTTGGCTTGCCTGGTTCGAGGAAAAGCCGGTGACCTGTTACTGCAGATTTGAACATGGTCTCTTGAAAATACAGGTTATCGTGTCCTGATGCAGGTGCAAATATGTTCTGTAAGTATTCCCTGGAGTATTTCTAGTCTCCATCCCAGCAGACCCTCCCCATAAGCAGCACATGCCTCTAGCCTGCTCCATCTGCAAAGGCTGCTATCCTGCAGCCCCTCCATCCCACCGTCATGTCACTTCTCCCTGCCTCTAAACTATCCCTCCAACTGCCAAAAGCCCCATCAGTGACCCCATCCCATTTAGGCTGAAGGTCAGGATCACTGTCATGGCCCACACCCTGCAGCACCTGGCCAGGGCCACCTTACCAGCAGCAGTGCACTTGACCCTCTACACCAGACGTCACTGAGAGGAAAAGGGCAAACTCATTTCCATTGGAGAAATAATAAGCAAAAGATAATGTCAGGACCAGTGAAAAGTAGTACCTTCTAAGAAAACTTACTGGAAAAACGAGAACCTTTGACGCCTTAGCCGTCTGCCTCAAACTACCCTTTCCAAATGCAGGCCAACTCAGAGCCTTGTAACCCTGAAATTGAAATGACAATGGGCTAAGAGCAGAGCTGAATGAAGCAAGTGTAAGAAAAGATATTCTAAGAGGAAAACAGCTGCTTTCTGCAATCAGCATGGTTGACTTTATGGCCATGGTTTCCCGGCTGCTTACCAACATCATGACTTGGATGCACCACTATCCTCAACTCTAAAATCTAAGAATCAGAATACAACCTTATTTCTCATATAACGAACAAGGCTAACTAGCCATTTGGGAGTCAAAGAATGAAAGATATACAAAGTGGCTCTAAGGAGGAACGATCAAGGAAAAGCGATGTCTTCGTGAGCTTCCAGTCCTTGGCGGAAGAGGAGACCAGCCATACCCCATCCCTGCCTCCAAGGCGTGCATGCTCCTCGGGTCACCAAGATCCTGTACCGTTAGATGTGCTTCACACACAACGGTTCCTTCTGAATTTTTTTTATTGAGGTGAAATTCATGTAACCAGATTAACATTTTGAAGTGAACAATTCTGTGGCACTCCAGTCACACTGTTGTGATTACAACCCCCACCTCTATCTAGTTCTAAAACATTTTGGGGGGGGTTTCTGCGGGAAAATGGAGTAAGGAGGCAAGGCAGAAACTTCCCAAAACCACATGGAACATGAAAACAACACATACAAGTAAACCTGAAAACATTTTCATCATCCTTTGTGATGGATGGACATCCTTAAGTCCATTTCCTCATGTTTGGACTCCAGAGACAAAGAACTACTTTTCATTCTTCAGCTAATGGCCAGCTTTAACCAGCAACAGCCCTGACAAGGTCAAAGCTTTCCAGAGTCAGCGGTCCTTTCTCACAGGGCCAAACTGGTGAGAAAGGGGTGGGATTCCAAGTGGAGCTCTTGAATACCAGCATTTTGCCCAGAGCAGAGCTGCCCACACAGTCGTTCTTGCCTAATTTCTAGGTCAAGTAAGTTTGAGAAACAGGTTTCTGTACTTCATGACTTCTCAGCTTTTGTATGCTAAGGTGCACGGTCTATTAGGGAAAGAGAATGAGGGAGTCTCTCAGACTGAACCCACTGGGAAGCCCTAGGCACTGCCTTTAGAATGCTGAGGGGCTCTGGGCCTCACCTGTAGAAAGAGCTTTAAAGGTCCTGTTTCTTACCTAGGCATCCTAGACAGAGAGGACTTGCATAGGGCCCTCTGTCTACTCTTGGAGGAAGAACCAGACAAAATATCTCCCTGGAAATGGTTCCCACATAAGGACTCTCCTCCCAGCCCTCCCACAGCAGGTGCCTAGTGAAGCTATTGTTTGGCTAGTTTGTGAAGAATATGCCCGTGCATCTGTATCCATGCATCTCACCAGAAAGACAGCCTGGTTAGGCAGTGTGGGGAGTAAGCCAAAACCCATACTGAAAGAGTGCTTGGCTCCAGATGGTGCCAGTGGAGACCCTGCCCATGGCCCAAGGGCCCAAAATGGGTGCTCCTTGGGAAGCCGGGGGTCTGCACACATGGCTCTGCAATGCTAGTCCTGTGTTCCACTTACTGTGAATATAACACCTAATGCCAGGAAAGTAATTTATGCAAGGTGGTGAGAGGCATTTGAGTGGAAAGACTTGATTCATGCCACGTGTCCTGGAGATCTAGCTCTCCTCCCTGTCTAACTTTATTTGGCTCTCTTGACAAAAGCCAAAAGGCGTGGTATCCATCCTGTGATCATGACATGACCTTCATGGCAAACACAGAACAAACAAAAACACGCACTCCCTGGCACAGGAAGATCAAAAACAAGAAGCCCAAGTGATGAGGAAGATAAAACTAAGGTATTGTGAAGTGCTGAGTCAGGGTGTAAGTTCAGAGAACCCGGTCAGGTCAGGCACTTGCCGACAGAAGCAGGGTAGGCCTCATCTATTCTGTCCTGGGTTATTTATTAATTTATTTTACAGTTTCATTCAAAGGACTGGAAAAAAGGGAAAACAATGGAAAAATAATATAGTGAGAAGAAACATTTTGAAACTGTTTAACTTTACAGAGAGGTAAACATTTTTTTTATTTTGATATCGTTAATGTACAATTACTTGAACAAGATGGTTACTAGACCCCCCCCCTCATTATCAAGTCCTTCCCACATACCCCATTACAGTCACTGTCCATCAGCATAGTAAGATGCTATAGAATCATTACTTGTCTCAGAGAGGTAAACATTTTTAATTGGCTTTTGTTTTTTTCACCTCTGGAAACCTAACATGAAGCTCAGGGTTTGTGCTAGGGTGAGAGAATATCAATGTGGCAGAGCAGGATGAGGTACATGCAACCCCCTAGACATGAGATAATGTATTCAAAGCACCAGGCACGCCTGTGTGACCCAGGACCTTTGAATGGACTTAGCCAAACCAAGTGTACACAGCCAGAAACAGAAACTTGAGTGTATCTACAGTCCCCCGTATCTGTCTAGACTGCCTCCTATTAGCTGCTCTGAGCTGCTGTTCCTTTTCTTATCTGGTTTTGAGATCCATTGGGACACGGACAAAATGTGCCATCTGCCCACAGGCACAAAGGTCCTGCCTTCCAGCACCTTCTCCCGCTACGTTCAGACCTAGGAAACAGGACCAGTCCCTGGCCCACGATCCCCACGTGTTGTAGATACCCTTGTTTTCTCAATGCTGACTCCTGAAAGACCAATGTATAGATCAGTCTGGGTGTGCACACCCAAACCTTAAAATGTATTGAGCACCTGCAGAATTTCACAATACTTTTAATGCCTTGATTGGTGAGGAACTCCATAGAAAGTCTGGACCCAATTCAACATGAGAAATTTTCCTAAGAAGCCAGCCAGGATAGGGATGTCCCCCATCTAGAGCAAAGCGACTTAGGGAGGAAGGCAAGGGCTTTGTACTGGGGGTCTGCAGGGTGGAGCAGACCCAGAATTTCAGCAACCCTGACATCTAGCCTGAGGGATCTACTAGGAACTATTGCATAAATGGTAGAAAGGACCTGGGGTTTCAATCCTGTTTTGAGTCCTCCACCACCTTCTGCCTTGTTACTTAAATCTTGCTGAACCTGATTTCCTCATCCAAAAAACTGAAATAACATTACAAGCTCACAGGGTTGTTATGCTGATTACATGAAATGTATGTGAAATGTGCTTTGCAGCAAGTGGTTTTCAAATTAATGACCACAAAGTACATAGATGGTTAAAAAAAATTTTTACATGATAAGCCAGTATATACACATATAAACATACACAATTGAAACAAAGGTTTCAGGAAAACAATATTTACCTTACCATACTTGGTATTTTCTATTCTATTTCGTTTTTTAAAATGCTGGTTCAATTCACCATATTGCTTGGACCACTCCTAAGCGGTAAGCTACACAGTTTTTTTAAAGAATCCTTGGAAGTCATACGGTTGTCAGTTACTATGATTATTATGGTTCTCGGGGGATGGTCTGATGGCTGGGAATCTTCATCGTCAGGGCAACGAAGGAAGAGATCAAGGCTATTAAGTCGAGCCTTAGCCCTGTTGCCAAGGGAACAGACGGCCTGGTCAAGGGTGGTCTACCCACGCGCTGTACCCTCTGCGGAAATGGAGTGGCCCACACCCCTGCCACTCACATCAGCAGCCTGTTAAGCCCGCCCCTAGGCCCAGAGAGCAAGGAAGACCCGCCTCCTCGCTAAGGTTAAGCGAGGAAGGCCGCGATTGGAGGCTCGGGGGTGACGTAACTTTCCGCTTTCCGTGTTCTTCCGCTCGGGCGGTTGTCGGGCGGGGTTCCGGGAACATTCAGCGGTGCTCCCCAGTCCCTCGGCCCTTGGAAGTGCGATGAGGTCGGTTAGTTACGTGCAGCGCGTGGCCCTGGAGTTTAGCGGGAGCCTCTTCCCGCACGCAATTTGCCTAGGAGACGCTGACAATGATACGGTCAGTGCATGCGCACTGCGAGACCCGCAGCTCGGGTCTGCGCAGGACTGGGGCGGGCCCGGGGCTGGGGCGGGGAGGTAGCCGCCCGCGGCGTGCGCGTGCGCGGTGCGCATGCGCGCTGGGGCTACGGGGGGTGCACCCGGTAACTTCATGGCCCCGGACGTGTTGCCGGAGTTCGTCTGGTTATTTGGTCCGCCTAGTTGCGCAGGTAACTGATGCTCGACTTAAGTCAGCAACTCGTCCACAGTGGGAGCGTAGTAAATTTTGGTTGTCAAATTTACTGTTTCGCTGTGCCTGTCGTTCGTTATGCTTCCTCCCCCAGGAGCATCACCTCTCAAATCACTTTACGTTTCAAAGCCTCACAATAGGCTTAAAACGCACCTCTGCGGCTCTTAGACTTGTCGCTTTACGTTGGAGTGACTGCTGTACTTTGCCTCGACTGCCTATTCGTAGACTCCAAGCAACCCCGGCCGGGGTAGCAAGTGTCCCCACCGCCCCAATCTCAACTACGTCGGGTCTCGACGGTGCCCCCCCCGTAGTACACGCAGGTGGCCTTGGTTGAATTGCAAAAACAATTTACACTTCCCTTTTCTTCTTTCAGCAGTCATTCCTTTTCTCGTTGATTACCTGAATTAATACAAGTAAAGTGGGTAGAACCATGCCTAACACATAGTTGACGCTGTCTTAGCGTTAATTTTGTCACAATTTGATTGTATTTTTCTACAAATATCTGTTGAACTGCCCATTATGTGCCAAGGACTCTGGGAATTAAAAAATGAACAAGGCAGCCTGAGCGCTCAGGTAGCTTGCTCATAATCAGATGGAGTGATAATCACAAGAATGACAAAGTAAGGAGGGGTATGTGACAAAGTATGTGAAGGGTTCTGGGGCCGATCATCCAAGATGATGGAGGCTGCCGATGGTGGGAGCCACTCTTTTTTCCAGACTTGATCTTTTCATCTGTTTCATATTTTTTATGCAAAGCGCCTTGTTGCTCTCCTCTCCCACACTCTGCTCCATCTCCCTACTCTGCCTCCCTGCTTCTCAATCTCGCCTCCCTAATTGTTCTGTGCCCTCTTTTCCCTGGAAGAAAACAAGGACTGAAACATCCCCTCTTCAAACTACCTACCATCCCAGCTTCCTTTGTGCTGTGATGGAGAAGGTACTTCATGAGGCCTCTTTTTGGAAGAAAGAGTTACTGTCATAAATTTGTATAATGTTTTTTGGACTTTCCCATTTCTTCATATGCTAAGGAATACAATTTATGAGAAAAACAAGGGAGGCATTTTTAAACAGTAAAGTAAATTTAGACATGCATTTTTTTTCCATTTCATCTGATTATCTTTGTTTAAAAGGGAAAAATGCACGCCTTTTTCTCAGAGCTTCATAGCACCAGCTTTTTCAGAAATTGTAGTTGTCTAAGTGAATTGAACTATTAGACATACAGTTCTGTAATATTAGGTGTAATATTACACCCCCTTTTTTAAAAACCTGAGTTGTAAGCTCCATAAGGATAGGAATTTTTTAATGTTTTTTCACTGCTGTATTCCCAATATGTAGAGTAGTGCCTGGCACATAGTAAACATTTAATACATGTTTGTTGAATAAATGAGGATTGTTATGAAAGGCAAATGTGAGTATGTGTCTGAAAGCCATGAGAAGGGCTTTGCCTGCTAAAACAAATATAACTGAAAGAAGAGCAAGTTACTTGAGATAGTTGGCTAGTGATCTGGTGTGGTTTACTCAGCCTGCATGTGTGTGGATGGAGATTCTGTTACTGGTTCCCCAGGCCAGCATTTGGAGATTTGGGACAGGAAAAAGGATTCTTTCATACTAATAAAGATTTAGCTTAGAGTTTTTTGAAACTAATTTATTTTCTGGTAAGTCAGGGAGAAGCCAAGAATAGAGTACCCTGAAGCCTGGCTACAGCAGGGGAAAGTCTCTAGAAGTCCGCAGCAGATCACAGAAAGATCTCACCTCCTTTCTCCTTTTGCACTTCTGACCATGGTGTACTCTCCAGCTGGGGTTCCTCAGTATCACCAGGTGACCTCCAGAGGCCAGAGCCAGGATCAACCATGGAGAAGCAGAATCACTGGGAAGCCTTGTAGCTGCCCAAAGCAGAGGGCTACCCTAGAAATGTTCTCTGCCATTGCTTCAGCTCTCTACCTGGCTGAGTCACATCTGCTTACCCTCTGTACTTACACACTCTTGTATGATTTTATTCCTGTGTCTGTGCCTTTCTTAAACTGTGAGGTCCTTCTTAGCAGGGGGGTCTATGGCATTTATCTTTGTCCCCCTAGCTGATTGTCCAGCTTTATCTGAAAACTCAAGTGCTGACTGAGCATTCTGTTTCATTCCAATTATTATTTGTTTCTTAAAAAATTTTTTTTTGTCTATTAAGTTAACATTACTGAGAACCTACGGTGGACTATGGCATTTGCTGAATGAGTGTATAAAAAAGAATAGGTTGTATGAAAGATGCTAAGATCCCCAGCCTTGAACGCGTTTAACTAGAGGCTGAAAACCACCTAGTATTAGTGCTCATCATACACCAGTCACTGCTCTAAATGCTTTCCTTTGTTTGTTCTATTGTCGCAACACCATATGAAGGTGATGATCTTATGATCCTCGTTTTATAGATCAAAAAATTTAGGCATAGAGAGCTGGATTCAACTCCAGACAGCTGTGCCCAGAAGTTCCACACTATACAGCCTCTCTTCTGTGTCTGCAAAAGTCCTCTGGGCAACCATAATTGAAGCATCAATCAGGTGTAGAGGGTTTGATGTAAATAAACTTATTCCCACCAGAAACTCAAATAACTATCAAAAATGAATAAATCTAAAGTTCAAATCAAGTAAATCATAATTAATAAATCCCAATTCATTTCTTTACCTTTCCTTACTGTTGATCTGTTGTATCTTTGTTGCCTTTAGAGTTAAATCTCTTGAGAATCTAATATTCAATCTGTTTGGGGGACAGGAGGGAGTGTTAGATGTCCTGCCAACAGGAAACATGGAACTGTCTTAGAGAAATAGGGTTTGGAGCGACCTCATTATGATGGTTAGCCCCTGGAAAGGGTGGGAGGCCTTTGGGGAGCCACTGGAAGTGGAGTACCCCCATAGAGAAGGTCGAGGAGAGGCTCCATGAGGGGAGCATGCCCTCCTGAGAGCCTGGCCACTTGAGGGCGCTAGAGGCCCAGAGTGCGGATACTGAACCCAGAGCCCGACTCTTCACTCACACACCAAGATCAAAAGGTCTTGCTAGAGGAGAGACGGCCCCCCAGGGCTGAATTTGCCTTTTTACTTGGTTCCTGATTAAATACTAGGTCTGAAGTTAAATCCCCCAGAAGTTAAATATTTTGGATTGTTTTCAAAATATGTCCCATTTGTAGTAGACAAATTAGAAGAGCTGAGGTCAGGCATGTGGGGATTGAGCTGTTCTACTGTCAGCTGGATCGTGGTTCTGTATTGCCCCTTTCCTCTAGCTTCCCATGCCCCCAACACACACACACCCCTAACTGGAAATTAAGATACTCAGGGAAACTATAGCTGTGTTAGTTGTAAAAGATTTTTAATACATTTGCTGAAGATACATTGAGGTCTTGTGATTTTGCCAGGCTGGGCCCATCAGAGCTTGGATGGTTCGGCAGTAACCCATCCTAATACTCTCTTCTCTCTCTGTTTGAAGTTAAATGAATTGGTGGTAGGAGACACCAGCGGAAAGCTGTCTGTGTATAAGAATGATGACAGCCGGCCCTGGCTCACCTGTTCCTGCCAGGGAATGGTCAGTATTCACCTCCCTGGGTCTCAAGGTGGGGAGGGGTCCCTTTTGTCCAGGGACTTTCACGGCTGAGTCCCACACAGGAACTTACCAGTGGGTCCCAACTCACCAGCTGCTCAGCCCAGCCACTGGTTCTCAGTTCATTGGATTAAGGGTGGGAAGCCCCCAGGCAGAGCTCTCCTAGCTGTTACACAGACACACAGACACACACAGTGGAGTTGTTTTTTATTTTATGTTGTGGAGTGACTCCATTTGTACTTTAGGGAAACTGCCTAGCTTGTCTGATCTTATATAGCACAGTTGAAAGTGGGAGCATTGACTGAGGCTATAAATGTGATAGTCTGGCTTATATAAGATACAGAGTTTTGCTTTGTATTGTCTTAACTACTGCAGGTCTTCACATTGCTCTCTGGGTAAAAGGATCCTGTAGCACTATAACACAGCGGATACAGACTATCAGTGTAGGTCATGTGGCACAAGCTTTCAGCAGATGGTGGGGATTAGAAAGTCTGCTCCCTCTTGCTTTGCAGGACTAAAGAGCCCTGGTCTCCCTCAGTATGTTTTCCTGAGCCTCCCTTTCTTCTTTTGCAGCTGACCTGTGTTGGGGTTGGAGATGTATGTAATAAAGGCAAGGTAAGCACTCTAGGGGACCTTGGAACTGCGGTAGAATGCCAAGGCCTTACCTGGATCACCCCTGTCTTGGGTGGAAATCAGTTGAGAGCCTCACCATGACTTCTGTGCTGATGATCAGGCGTGTGCCCATACTCCCTCCTGCATCCATCTCTCCCACCGCTCTGTCTCTCTCAGAACCTGGTGGTGGCAGTGACTGCTGAAGGCTGGTTTCACCTGTTTGACCTGACACCTGCGAAGACCCTGGATGCTTCTGGGCACCACGAGAGCCTGACAGGAGAGGAGCAGCGTCCTGTCTTCAAGCAGCACATCCCTGCCAACACAAAGGTCATGCTGATCAGCGACATCGGTGGGCATGGCTGTCTTCGTAGGCAGCAGCCAGGGAAATAGGAGTCAGGGGGTAATATGGGCAATCTCGAGGGATTCAGGGGGTAGTCAGTGTTCATTTGTGTAACTGTTACGCATTTAATGTCGAGTTACTCAACTCCCATTATAAACTAGGCATCAGTCCAGGCCCTGGGATTGCAATAGTAAATAGATAGACAAAAATCGCTGCCTCTTGGACCTTTACAAGGAAGGGACAGAAGATAGACAACATAAGTGTTGTAAGAAACTTAAATAGTTTATTAGAGGGCAGTAAGTGTCATAGAGAAAATAAATCATGGGAAGGAGCTAGAGAGTGTTGAGGTGTAGAGGCAGAAGAAGCAATTCTGAATGGAATTTTCAGGAAAGTCCTTGCTGAGATGACATTTGATCAGAAATTGAAGGTGGCAAGGGAGTGAGCCACACAGATAAGGAGCTGATGTTTTGGTCAGAAGCTACCTCAAAGGTGCTGGTAGGTATAATGGGATGAATCAACACTCTACTAGTATGTCTGAGAGAAGAAGTGACAGGCCCTGTGGAACATGGGTGGGGAGTGTTTCGAACCCAAGGAAGGCAGGGCAGCGGGTCCTGACTCAGAGTGTGGGAAGGATGGACCTGAAGCCTCACGGAATACAAGTTCCCCTGGCACTGCTGTGAGTGGAGTGTGGGCGGGGTGCTGTGGGATTCACGCTGGCCCACACAGATTTGTCTTCGAACTTGTCTTATGTTCTGGATCTGTAGACGGAGATGGGTGTCACGAACTAGTGGTAGGTCACACAGACCGCGTGGTACGGGCTTTCCGCTGGGAAGATCTGGGCGAGGGCACCGATCACCCAACGGGGCAGCTGGTGTCACTCAAGAAATGGACACTGGAGGGTCAGGTGAGAGGCCCAGTGTGGGGACAATGGGGCCCAGGGAGCAGGGGGAAGGCCTCCTGGGGGAGTCTGTGGACAACAGGCCCGAGTACAGCACAGGAAGAAGGGAAATCCCCTTGTTAAAGAGATCCAGAGACGACTGTTTCAGACCAGGGTCTCGGGAAACTGCTAAAAATGGACAAAGGGGAAGGAACAGTGGGCCAAAAATTAGGCTTGTGAAGGGGGGCATGGTGTGGTCTGTATCAGGACCTGGACCCCAGTGGAAGCGTGCACAGTGGAAAGCAGGCAGTCTGTGTCAACAGGATGGCACCAGGCAGGAGCCCGTGACTCTAGGGTTCCTTCTGCTACTGCCCTTGAGGTCTGGAGAGTGCCCTGGGGCCGCGCCCCACTTCCCTCCCCTTTTCTCGGCAGGGCCCCACTCTTCTCTCTCCAGTCCCTTCAAGCCCTGTTCCCTCGTGCAGGTAGACAGTCTGTCCGTGACTCCAGGGCCCCTGGGTGTTCCTGAACTGATGGTATCTCAGCCAGGCTGTGCTTACGCAACTCTCCTGTGTACCTGGAGCAAGGATGCTGGGCCCGCCGCTGCCTCCGAGGGGGCCACAGAGGGCAGTAGGTAAGGGTGCGTGGGCTGGAGGTGGGCTCCCGGTGCACACAGTAGGGGGCGGGCCTGCGCTGCTGACAGAGCTGCTTCAGCTAGGTTCTGGCACATGCATCTTTGCCTCGTTAAGGAAAATGATTTCAGGACACAGGGAATCCTGAACTTTAACCTTGTAGCACCTGGAAGAGATTCCAAGTAACCCGGTTACCCTGTCCCTCTATTTTCTGCTTGCTATATGGGTCAGGCATGGTCAGTTACAGGTTTCCAGGTTGACTGACTTCTTGGAAGCTCTTACAGAGATAGGGGCCCCAAAGGCCTGGACAGCTAGGCTCACTTGGTCCCTACTCAGGTGCCCCATCCTCCTGCCCCAGGGAGACCCCAGCTGCCCGAGATGTCGTGCTGCACCAGACATCTGGCCGCATCCACAACAAGAATGTCTCCACTCACCTCATTGGCAACATCAAGCGAGGCAAAGGTTGGCAGGGAAAGGGAGAGGGCCAGGGGGCAAGCAACAGCAGGAGGGAGGCCCCCTCACTCATTCCCAGCCCATCCCCTCCTCCCTGTCCTTGGGCACCCCACGGGCTCTAATCCAGCCTTGCTATTCACGTTTTCTTCAGGTCCTTCTGTTGTATGTGCAGGTGCCAGCCCTGAGAGAGGTGGCTCTGGCCTCTTCGCCCTCTGCACCCTGGATGGTGAGTCCCGGGGCAGCCCAGAGCAGTCCTGGGGTGATGGCTGGGGCTGGTGGGCTCTGCTCAGGGCCCCACCCTCCCCGTCTGCCCTCCCAACAGGGACGCTGAAGCTGATGGAGGAGGCAGACAGGCTGCTGTGGTCGGTGCAGGTGGACCACCAGCTTTTTGCCCTAGAGAAACTGGATGTCACGGTGAGTGGTCAGCCCGGGGGAGACCAGCCTCCTTACTGCCATTTCACGGAGAGATGAGACTTAAAGGAGGCCATCCTCAGGCACAGTTAACCCTAAACCTTCATCAGAAGCCTCTCTTCAGACGGGCCCCACCACAGCTGAGCGAGCTGGTCTCCCCACCTCACAGTGCCGAGCGCTCTTCTCTGTACGACTGGGGAAGCTCTCATTTCAGCCGCTGCCAGCAGAAGCAGTAGCTCCTGAGAAAAAAGTTGTTATTAGGGTTCAGACTGAGCTGTTAGTCCCAACTCCGGATGCACATTCTACACATTTTTTCTTGTCCATAGCCGAGCCTCTCCTTACTAAGGCTGTGGCTCCCGAATTGGCAGGTAGGGGCTGTACTGTGCACCTGTGCACCACCCTTGTGCATGCCGGATGGTTTAGGAGAAGAAGCCTGAAGTTTCAAGTCAGTTAGAACAGGCCTGGGGTTGAGTTCTGATTCTGCTCCCTCCCAGCTGAGTGGCAGTGGTTGAATGACTTCATTTCTAGAAGCTGAAGTTTCCTTCATAGAAAACTGGGGCTCCTGTTGCCTGCTTCATTGGTTTGTGAGCATAATGGAAGGTGGCCCATGTGGCAGCCCCCTTCAGTGCCTGTCCCACGAGAGAGGTTCAGAAGGAAACATATGTGGTCTTCCTTCCCAGCTGGCTATTAGATCTCTTCCGAAAATGGCTCCTGGCCACTGCCCTGCATCCTTGTTTCTGGCCTTTTTCAGGGCAACGGGCATGAGGAGGTAGTGGCCTGTGCCTGGGATGGACAGACATACATCATTGACCACAACCGCGCTGTTGTCCGCTTCCAAGTGGACGAGAATATCCGAGCCTTTTGTGCAGGTGGGACCCTGCCCAGTGGCCCCTCTAACCATACTGTATGCCTCTCATTTCCACTTTCCCTCTGCCCCCTAGTGGAAGTCTCATAAACAGAGGAGTTCTTTAGCTCTTTCCTTAGAGGGCGGTGGGTGAGCACTAAATCGCCTTCTTTACAATTTTAAATAAGAAGAAATAAAAGGTAATGAGATGCCCATCTCTGAATATTTTAAAGAATGGGATGAATTCTTACCATCTTTCTGGGTTGTGTGAAGACCTCGGAAAGACCTCTCCCACCTGAGCTCATCAAACCTCTGTGAAAATCATTCTCCCAGAGCATTCTCACTAGTTCCAAACTGGGGACCTTGGAAGGCAGCACTGGCTCTCTTGGGTGACGTGGGGAGTCTTTGGTCCCTGTGCCTGAAAGGCTAATGTGCCTTTGGAGCAGGGATCATCACCAAAGAGAACCTTAGTTTCTGACCAAGTTTTGCTGGTCCACCCCTTGAATTAGCAAGCCTGCCCCTCGGGACTCCAGGGCTGCCACTAAGATGGGAAACCAACAAATATCACCTTCTTGGGTGCGATTCTGCCTGGGATCTGTTGTGTGGTTTTTCAGTGTCTGGAATGGGCCAGATACTGTACTGTTGCACCTGTTTTACTGAGTTCCTAACAGGAGAGGTAGAAAGAGGGCCTGTGGTTTTCTGGTTGACGTCTGGGAGGGTTGAAACTGCTGACACTAATGCCCCGTCTGGTCTGTGCCCTCCAAAACTGGGGCTGGAACTTCGTGAACTTTTTCTCACCACCCACACCTCCCAGGCCTGTATGCCTGCAAAGAGGACCGCAACAGCCCCTGCCTTGTGTATGTCACGTTCAACCAGAAGATCTATGTGTACTGGGAGGTGCAGCTTGAGCGGATGGAGTCTACCAATCTGCTGAAAGTGCTGGAAGCTGAGCCAGAGTACCAGAGCCTGCTGCAGGAGCTGGGTGTGGGTGAGTCCCAGGAGAGCTGGGGACTGCAGGAGCCCAGTGGCCCAGGATCCTAGGAGGTCCACAGCTCTCACCAGCAGCCCCTTTCTCACCCTTAGATCCTGATGACCTCCCGGCCGCCCAGGCCCTGCTCCACCGAACCCTCTACCATCCAGACCAGCCACCACAGGGTGCTCCCACAAGCCTCCAGGATCCCACCTAGCTGGACTCGCCCTCTTGGCTGAAGAAGGATCCTTCTGAACCTCCCCATTCCTCCGGGTGTCCATGGTGTGGGCAGAATAGGGACTGTACATTACAGAGGAGCGTGGAAGGACAGTCACCCTGGGGCGATTGTGAACTATAGACTGCGTGGTCTTCTTGGTGAAAGATGAGGCGGGTTGACCGTCCACCCATCCCCTCGTGCACCTCACCCACCCTGCCAGCAGGATCACAGGACCCAGCCTGACTCCACATCGTGTGGGACTGTCCCCTCACCCCCACAGGGTGGTGGGTGGCGTGTATGTGAGGAGGGAGCACAAGTCACCGATGAATAATCATTTCCAGAATGGCACACTGTTTGGTTTTCGAGGGGTCTTTCAGGACATTTTATAATCTGGTCTTACTGTGTTCCCAGCAACTCTGAAGATGATTTTCTTCTATTTCCCAAAGAAGCTGGGCCAGTATTCTCTTTTGCCATGTTCAAGCATTGTGCAGCTTCAGAGGCCTTACTTCCATCTCCCCACCCAACCATTTCACCCCCAAAATACTTTCATGTCAAAATACAATAGACATTTAAACTCTGATGCAGGTTTATGATCCGGACCATGATCAGAGTTGTGTCTTGTGCCGTTTACATCCCTCTGCTCTTGGCTCCGTGTGCTCTAAATCACTGTTTCACATTATAGGGTGCAATCCTTTGGGGGGTTGTGATCAGCCCTTTTTGAATACATTGAATAGCATAGAATAAAATAGAATGCCAAATATCAGAGTGTTCTGCTCACAGTATTGGGAAGTACTGTGTAACAGTTGGAAGTGTGTAGGCATATGTGTATTCTGAGTGCAATGTAAAGTTTATTTCCCTGTGAGTTGTATTTAGGGGAGTTTTAAAGCCATTGCTCTCAGTTATACTTATGCCAGCCAGATGGGTCAACCCAGGGAAAGGTCCACACTCACATTTCCTTTCTGTAAGGGTCCAAGGGCAGAGATACCATTCAGCCTGATCAACATGAAGGAAGACTGGAGGAGGACGTCAGCATAGAAAAACAGCTGTTTATTAAGAGGAGGAGCAGCTGAGCTGAAGGCCTGCCCTGGGGTCTGGGATCTGCAGTTACAGAAGCAGGAGGAAGCAGAAGGGAAAGGACCAGGGGAGCAGGGACCACAGAGCAGGGCAGTGAGGGACCAGGGCACCGCTGCACAGTGATGGGCAGCCCCTCGCCTCTCCTGAGGGCAGGGGGCCCTGGGCAGCTCCTTGCATCCTTTTAACCTACCCCAGGCCCATGGATCCTAGTTTCCTGGTTCAAGTTAGTTACACCATGGCTTCCTCTACCCCTAATCCATGACTTCAGAGATGGACCAGCCAGGGAGACACTCAGGGGTCTGGATCCTTAAAGTTTGAGTCTCTGCCTTCATGATGAAGTCAGATTCCTTGTCTCTTTCCTTTGGCTCAGGGTCTGGCAGGGGATAGAAAGCCACTGATTCCAAAATCAGACAAGCTCAAGCCAGGAGGCCAGAGATGGGTGGGGAGGTCTGATGGGGTCAACTGGTTAGGTTAAGTCTGAGCACTGACTGCCCCACAGTCCTGCCCACCTTGTGGGGGCAGTTCTCTGCAAGGCTCTTCCATACACACCCTGTGTAGGGGCCCAGTGGCTGAAAAGCAAGTGGAGAAAGATAAATACCTGGAGCAAACAGTAGATATATACCCAAGGTTTTGCACAGGGCATCAGAGAATAACTGGTTTCAGACATTTGCTGCCCCAGGAAAGGTGACAGCGCTGCCAGCCTTGTGTGCCAGGTACCCCTCTTCCAACTCACCTTCCTGTTGTATTGAGTTATTCTGTTTACTACTTCTTCTCAGACTCAACTGTGTGCAGAGCCAGAAAGGAAGGCCCCAGTAGGAACAGGGACCCAGGCTGGTGAGGTGTGGTAGTCTAGGTGTGAGAGAGAACCAGTTTCTGAAGGTGGGGAAGACAGGTGTGAAGGCAGTCAGGTGTTTGGGGTGGAGCTGGGGACAGGTGGAGGACAGGAGACGGCAGCCTGACTCAGGCCAGTTCCTACCATGCCCAGGGCCCAGCCTGCACCCCATTTTTGTTTATGCCCTTTTCTTCAGTCTTTTGGAGGGGAAAGACCAGGGGAGCCAGAGCCCTGAAACCAGGACCTGCTCTGGGGACAACTGCCCCTGGGGGGAGGGTGTGGCCGAGAAGCAGAGAGGAGGGAGGCCTACTGAGCAGGGTCAGGATGGTGACAAAAGGGACAGAGTAGTCCCCAGCCACCTGGCTCTAGTAATGCCCCATGCCTCACATGGCGCTCCCCCTAAGGTGAGGTCCTTCCTCCAGGGGAGTGAAGGGAAGAGTCATCACTGGCCAGGCTCTTGGCACAAAGGCAGGAAGGGCAGCTCAGGGAAGGGAGCTCGCAGCCGCAGCACTCCGTGTTCCAGGTCGATGCAGCACTGCGGGGGGAGCATGAGCCAAGCTGGGGCCTCTCCCAGCCCCTCCCACTTCCTACAGCGTCCCTGCACCTTGCTTTCCTGTTCCCAATCACCTGGACCCCTGTCGGGGAGGCACCCACTTATTTCCCACTTGGGCACAAGTGAACCTCTCAGGAAGCAAAGGTGAGACTGCACCTCTCTCTAGGAACCTGACCCCTGCTTCCACACCTGCACTCTCACCTCTTTCCCACCCCTGGAGTCGGGCGCCAGGCACAGCAAGTACAAGCAACCTCACCTTGAGGGCAAGCAGAGTCTGCAGTCCAAGACAGAACTCGGGACTCTCGTCATCTGTGGGAGCATTTGGAAACGAGGCTGGAGGGCACCCACAGGTCGGGCTGCCCTGCGGTCATCACTGGCCCCTTCTCTGCCCACCGCGCCCCCAGCTTTGAGAACGTCGACCCAGACTGGAGAGAATCCGAGCCAGCTTTGGGCTACTCAGCTGGTGCCAGCAGGGGCTGAGAGTCTCTGCAGTGGCCCCGCCCGGAGAGAGGCGGGAGCCATCAGAAGCTGGGCCCTTGAAGGGAGGACTTACCCACCACCTGGGCTGAGCACGCCACTGTCTCCTGGCCCAGCTGTAGCTCCAGCTGCTCCACCTGGGTTGGGGGCCCAGGTGCCGGGTCCCCACCTGGGGCTTTCAGGCCCCTCTTCCCTATCCTGTGGTTGGAAAGCAAGGGTTATGGCCCCCACGCCTCCCACCTTTCGTTCAGCCAGTATCCTCCCCACCGCCCTGTGGGTTCTCATCCAATCCCTTGGTCCCGTCCCACAGGGGGTCTCAGTCCGTCTTCCCTGCCAGCGCCCCCATCAACTCTTAAAATAACAGCTTTATTGAGATATAGTTCATATACCATAAAAGCCACCCTTTTAAAGTGTACAATTGGGTGGGTTTTAGTATATTTGTAGAGTTATGTAGTCATCACTGTTACCTAATTTCAGAGTATTTTCAACCCTCCTAAAAACCTCGCTCCCCATTCACTTCTTTGACGCACACTCTTACCCCAGACGGCTGAGGCAGCCCGCGGAGATCTGATTGTGCTGTGTGCCTGTGTCCACGGCCACCCTGAGCACCTGGTCCCGGCACTGAGAGAGAGGGCGTGGGGCTTCCGTGAGCCCCCAGGAGAACGGGTTGGGTTGCACCCTCACCTTTCTCAGCCCCTTGATAGTTCCCTTTCCAAAACAAGTGAAGAGAATGAACTATCTTTAGAAGTGCTTTCTATGGCACTCATACCACTGAAGCAACCTGGCTCTGATCCAGGATCAAGAAGGAAGCAGCGCTGCATGTGGTGAGTCCATACGTTTGGGAACGATTTCACCCAATAGGATGTTTGTTTAGAGGAATTCTTAAGGGGTCACGGGCTAGAGAAATCTAGGTTAGGAGCAGAGAAGGGATGGGAAGACTGGGACACCTTTATAGGAAAATCAGGTGTGGGTAACTGAGAGGTCCACTGAAGACAAGTATATGCAGACACTTTGATTTACACTTGGATATCACAAACACATGTAGTTTTCTCATTCCAAACACCAGTCCCCTACTGTGCATCTGGTATGTTGGTGGCAGACACAGCAATGAAGGCTGTGCTTTAGGAGCTTAAGGGATGTGACATGTAACTAGTGTGTGGGAGGGAGTTTAAGGCCTGTGAAAGGGCTGGGAGTAAAGTGCCCTAGACACTGAGAGGGAGGGAAGGTTATTTCCTACTGGGGAAATCAGAAAAGGCTTCAAGGAGGAGGTAACATTTGTGGTCTTAGAAGACTGTACAATGTGGGCGTAGAACGACTGAAAAGCAAGAGGGAAATGCTGAGGGAAGGCAGTGGCAGAAGAGTAGGAGCATCTATGAGGAAGGCTCAATACTGCGAAGGGGGCTGGCTCCAGAGACGACATGGCTATCGCCTTGGAACATGTGAGCTTTTTCTGGAAGGGCTGCACTATGTGCACACACACGCACACACCCTTTATGCATGGAGAACATACTGAAGAGTATTTACACATTCACATTTATCTCAGACAAAGGAAAGGCATCAGAGTGATAACAGATGGATTTGCACAGAGGGCTGATGGGTTGAGGCACCGAGAGTAAAGAAGGTATCAGGTCCCATGTTTAGGTCCCTGCTAGGGCTGCCTTTTCTCCCTCCCTCCTTCCCCTACCATGCAGGGCAGAAAGGAGAGTGGGCGAAGTGAGCCAGTCACGGGCAGGCAGCCTGTTAGTAGAAGCCTGCTCCTGGGGCGTCTCACCCTGCAGCTGACCAGCAGAGCTGGGGGGCCTGCCTTGCTGGTCTTGCTCTCGCTTTCCTCACCGTGGAGCAGGGCCTGCACCCAGGCAGACTCAGCCTGGAGTAGACTCTTGTTTCCCTCCACCAGTCGTCTTTGGATCACGCTGTGCGGCTGCTGGCTCCATCACAAAACAGTGAAGGTAGACAGGTCTACACCCGATGTCCAGGAGTGAACACCAGTATCAACTCATGCCATTTTTCTGGGACCCCCCCATTAGGTTGCTCAGCAATGAAGAAATGGGGAAATGAGAAGGGTCCATTCTAGGTTAGACTGGCCTATTGGCTGGCGGGACATTTCAGGAACTAATACTCTGCTTGAGGGGAGGGACTTCTAAGTCTACAACACATTCTCTTTGACATTTTTTTCCTTTGTTCCCCCTCTGACCTCAACCAGCTGCAGATCCCAGGGTTGACGGTGTGATGAAAAAACTCAAAGTAATAAAAACAAGCCAAAAAATCAGACAGAGAGAAGAAGGACCAAAAGAAGTTAAATCTTCAAAATTAGGGTGCTGGGAGTCATGCTTGAACTCTTCTTCCCCTGAAACCACCCCCACCAGGTCCAGTCACTCTCTCAATACTGCCAGTTTACAGAATTCAGCCCTCCTTTCCAGACTACAGTTATTCAAGCCTCCCCACAGCTGTCCTGGATCACTGCGAAGCCTCCCCACATTCACAAGGACCTGCCTCTGGTCCTGCTGCCCCTCGAATACACCTGCTCAAAGCCGATGATTGTCTAAAACCCTGGCTACTCAAAGTGTGGCCCTCAGATCAACAGCTTCAACATCACTTGGAAGCCTCTTAGAAATGCAGAATTGTGACCTACTGAATCAGAAGCTTTCTTTTAACAAGATGCCCAGATGATTTGTGTTTACATTAAAGTTTGAG